ATACCAGCCCACTGGGGCATGGTATATTTCTCTTTTAAAAAGAGCCGCAAGTCTCCGCTCGGCCTCTCTTGGTTCCGGCGCTTGTTTCCGGCTCCTGCTCCAGCGACTAGGCTCCTTTCCTGACGGTTTGTGTGTATGTAAGTTTTACCCCCCAAAATAAATACCCCTTTAAAACCTAACTGGTGTGGGATTGATTCGCCATTAGGTATCACAGTAATTGTAGCCTCATAAAAAAAGTTTGGCGATGTGCCTTCTGTTTCCATTGTGTGGAACAACTTGAGGAGAATTGGTATTAGTTCTTCTTTGAAAATCTTGTAGAATTCTGAGCTAAAACCACCTGGTCCTGGGCTTTTTGTGCTTGGGAGACTTTTGATGACTGTTTCTATTTCTTTGACAGTTGTAGGTCGGTTTAATTTACTTTCTGATCTTGATTTAATTTTGGTAAGTGATATTTATCCAGAAAATTGTCCATTTCCTTTAAGTTTTCAAATTTTGTGGAGTCCAGATTTTCAAAATATGACCTAATGATTCCCTGGATTTCTTCCTGTCTGTTGTTATGTCCACCTTTTCACTTCTGATTTTGTTAATTTGGATATTCTCTTTCTACCTCTTGGTTGGTTTGGATAAAGATCCATCTATTCTGTTGATTTTCTTGAATAACCAACTTTTTCTCTCATTGAGTCTTTGTATTGTTTTTTTTTGTTTCCATTTTGTTGATCTCAGTTCTCAATTTGATTATTTTCTGCCATCTAGTCCTCCTGGGTAAGTTTGCTTCTCTTTGTTCTAAAGTTTTCAGGTGTTCTGTTAACTCACTAGTGTGGGATTTTTCCACCTTCTTTATATAGCCTTTTAGTGCTATGAACTTTCCTCTTAACACTGTTTTCATTTTGTCCCATAAATTTGGGCCTGTTGTGTGGCCATTTTCATTGAATTTTAGGAAGTCTTTGATTTCTTCCTTTGTTTCTTTCTTGACCCATTGATGCTTCAGGTGAGCACTGTTTAATTTCCATGTGTTTATGGGCTTTCTGAAGTTAGTGTTGCTGTTGAATTCTAATTCTAAGCCATGGTGATCCAATAAGATACATGAGTTTATTCTAGTTTTTTTTGTATCTGTGGAAGTTTGCTTTGTTATCTAGTATGTGGTCAATTTTTGAGAAAGTTCCATGAGGTGCTGAGAAGAAGGTATATTCTTAAAAAAAAAGGTATTTTCTTTTATGTTTGGATGGAATGTTCTAAATATGTCTGTTAAGTCTATTTGATTCATAACATCTGTTAGTTCCCTCATTTCTCTGTTAATTTTTTGTCTGACAGACCTGTTCAGTGGTGAGAGAGGAGTGTTGAAGTTTCCCACTATATTAGTGTGAGTGGTTTAATGTATGATTTAAGCTTTAGAAGTGTTTCTTTTACATATGAGGGTGCCATTTTAATTGGGGCATAGATGTTTCAGTATTGAGATTTCCTCTTGATAGATTTTTTCTGTGAGTAATATGAAATGTCCTTCTTTGTCTCTTTTATTTTAGTTTCAAGTCTATTTTGTTAGCTATTAGGATAGTTACACCAGCTTGTTTCTTAGGTCCATTTGATTGGAAAATTTTTCCCAACCCTTTACTCTGAGGGGATGTCTGTCTTTGAGGTGGCGGTGTATTTTTTGTATGCAGCAGAAGGATGGATTCCTTTTTCGTATCTAATCTGCTAACCTATGTCTTTTTATAGGTGAATTGAATCCATTTATATTAAGGGATATTAATCACCAGTGATTGCTAGTTCCTGTTATTTTAGTTTTCGTTGTTGGTGATGCAATTGTGTGTGCTTTTCCCTTCTTTTGGATTTGCTGCTGTGAGATCATCTATTGTCCTAAAGACCTTCTGGCTTTCATTGTTTCCATTGATAAATCAGGTAATTCTGATAGGTCTGCCTTTATATCTTTTTCCTTTGCAGCTCTTAATACTCTTTTTTTATTCTGTATGTTTAGTGTTTTGATTTTTAATTAATGGCTTGCTCTAAGAATAATGGTTTGCATTGCTGCTGAGGATACAAGGACAATCAGGCTATTAATGCAACTCTAACTGCACACAATCAGTGGATAATCAGGTTATTAATGTGACTCTAACTGCATACAATTGGTTCATCTGCATCTCAGTGGGTGAACACTCTAAGCAAACACATGGACAAGATGTAAAAGCGTAGAGGAAGTTTGGTCCCTGTAGGTGAAGAGAGCTTTTGGGGTCATTTTCAAAGCAATGCCCTCCTCATTCAAGGAAGTGTAGGGATTTTCTTACAGAGTCTCTTCACGTGTACACAGGGGTTGACTCGTTCTGAGCATGCTCAATGAAGCAGTATATTCTTGATCTTACTGCTGAAAGTCAATACAATATACACAGCTCTTGCCTCAAAGGGAATACGTTGTTGGTTTTTGTTACTCTTTTTTTTTCCCTTTGGTAGCCCACCACCCAGCTCCCAAATAAATACAAAGAGACTTAGTCTTTTTTATGAATGCCCAGCCTTAGCTTGGCTTATTTCTAGTCAGCTTTTCTTAAATTATCATGTCTACCTTTTGCCTTTGAGCTTTTACCTTTCTCTATCCTATAAACCTTTCTTTACTTCTTACTCTGTAGCTGGCTGTATGACTGTGTGGCTGGCCCCTGGCGTCCTCCTCTCCTTCTCCCTTTCTCACTCCTCCCTCTTCTTTCTTTCTCTCCCATTTATTCTCTCTGCACACCAGCCCTGCCTATCCTTTCTCCTGCTTAGCTATTGGCCGTTCAGTTCTTTATTAGACCAATCAGGTTTTAGACAGGCAAAGTAACACAGCTTTACATAGTTAAACAAATGCAACATAAAAGAATGCAACACATCTTTGCATCACTACATGAATATTCCACTGTATAGACAAACGGAACGCATCTTAAGCTAATATTTCACAACAGGAATCAGAAACTCTATTCTGGAGTGAACCAGAGAGACCACGGCTCAGGAACAGGGACCTTGTTTACCTCAGATTTTATGTTTCACTGAGGTAATGCTTTTATCACAGTTTCATAGTAACAGTACAAAGAAATTAGTAATTCAAGGCACTTTAAAAATACACAGGTAGGCTGAACAATGGCGGTGTATGCCTTTAATCCCAATAATTGGGATCTGGCACCTCTGGCTCCCTGGGCATCTGCTGTCGCCTGCACATACCCACACACTGACACACAGACACATAAAAATGATAAAAATTAATCGTTTTAAAATGATTTCTGTATTAAGATAAGAAAAAATTTACAGACAGATCTCTGTGAGTTCAAGGCCAGCCTGGTTTACAGAGCCAGTTCTAGGACGGCCAGGGCTACACAGAGAAATCCTGTTTGGAAAAACCAAAGCAAAACAAAACAAAACAAAAAACATTTAAAGGATCAAACTTAGTTAACTCTGGGCCTAGACCACCTTTTCTATTAACCCCTAGCAAAATTGTTTTGAATAGCCAAGACTAGTGGCGCATGCCTATTGGGAGGTAGAAGGAGGAGCAGGATTTGAAGGGCTGCCTGTGTTGCAAGTGAGCTTGAGACCAGCCTGGGCCACGTGAGACCCTGCCTCAAACAACAAACAAAAACAAGCCCTTGCTAGAATGTAAGTGCGAACACTATAGAAACATCCGTACCTGTGTCGGGGGCAGTTTTGGTGTCCGTAGTGGAGGGGCCCTGTTGTAGGCAGGCAGATAATCAACTTGGGCCAAGTTTTGAAAGGGATTAGCTCAGCGTGCAATTACTCCTCCTCTTGCCTTTGACGTTTAAAGTGGCCTGGCTGAGTCCAGCCTTTTTCCAATGAATAATAATACAGTGTTGGATTTTCCTCTTTCGGACGACGTCTGCGGCGTCAGACTCACCACTGTCTCATTCTCTAACCTTGGGCCACTTAACCCTGAGTCTGAACAGCTGTGCTGGATGCGGCCGATGCCGATACTGACCTGGAGATTCATAGAGGGCAACTGGCCATCACGCTTCACTTAGCTATCCATGCATTATCGCAGGAAGATTTTTACAACACTTGATCAAGCCTAAGTGCTTTCAAGTCATTAATAAGCTATGGCTCGATGAAGAGATGTATTTGTCCTTTGGCAAAAAACCTTGTCTCAAGTGAGGGTTCCCCTCAATGCTTTAACTTTCACAGTATGCCGAAACAGCACCTAAGTTTCCAATGAGGACTGACAGTCAGTGGCTCTCCAGGAATCCTCCAGGCCATTAGCCTGCCCAAGCATCTGGCCTCACGCACTGAACAGCTTCTGGGTTCTCAGGCCCTCTGTGGGCAGACAGCCATTGTTGAACTACCCGGCCTCTACCATTGTATCAGTTTGCTCTCTGGTGCTGCAGTAGAACGCTTTGACCAAAAGCAACTTGGAAAGGAGTTATTTGGCTTACACTTCCACACCACGGTCCTTCGTCGAGGGAAGTCAGGGCAGGAACTTGAGCAGCCGCCATAGGGGAAGGCTTCCTGCTGGCTTGCTCTTTAGGGTTCACTCAGCTTGTTTCTTACATATCCCAGGACCACATGCCTATGGGTGGTACCACTCGCAGTGGGCTGAGTCCTTCCACATTAATCATTAACCAAGGAAATGCTTCACACTTGCCTACGGGCCAATCTGATGGAGACATGTTCCCAGGTTAGATTCCTTCTTCCCAGGTGATCATAGCTCGTGACAAGTTGACAGTCTAATAAACCCCTACTTTGATATATATTCACTCTCTCGCTTCCTCTGGAGAACTCTGCCCAGTAGAAGTTGTTTCCATTTGGGGAGGGGTAGGAACAACTGTTAGCTAGGATTAACAAAGTCATTTTTCCTAATTAAACCAGTCCTTCAGCGTGGGTTTCTGTTGCTTGCCCTGGTCAGACTGCTCTCCCTCTGGAGCAGTGGTTCTCACCCTTTCTCACGCTCTGACCTTTTAATGCAGTTCCTCATGTTGTGGGGGATTCCAACCACAAAATTATTTTCATTGCTTCCTCATAATTAATTTTGTTAGTATTATGAATCATAATGTAAAGATCGGATATGCAGGATATGAGATCCCATGAAAGGGATGCTTGACTCCCAGAGGGACTGCGACCCACAGGTTGAGAACCGCCCCGACCCCCAATAATGTCATCACCTGTGGAAAACAAGAAAGGTCACTTGTCACTTACATAACTTTCTTTTTATCTATCAGACACCGCATCTTCATTGGTACAACCTCCTAGGCTTTGTTTTTATTTTATTTTTCCAATGGAGAGGGCCAGAAGCATCCTCAAGCCCTGAGCCACTCTTCTGCTCGGCAGTTGTCTCAGGCAGTGTCCCCCGAGCCCTGCAGAGTGATGGGTAATGAGTTACAAGCTCAGCTCATTTTAAGCTTATACTCTCGAGGCCCTGGGCTAGTTCCTCAGCATCCAAGCTTGGCAGAGCTTAATGAGCCAAGTTCTTTCATCTTATATCAGCCGTTTCCACTCTCAAGCACTCATGTTGTCAAGGGGCAGGGGCAGAAATCATAACTGTACAGTGCCTGGAACGCGGCTGCCCCCAAACTCCAGAACCACCACAGACTCTTTTTCAGTTCCTCGGTGTGCCTTCCTGTCTTCCCTGAGAAGGGATGGCTTTTCAGGGCTCTACAATCCTTCCTTCTGCTTACGAGACTCTTCTCTATTGTCCTCCCAGCTTACTTACCAGCCAGGCCTCTTTTAATGGCATCTTCGACCATGTGCTCCTATCATGGTGTGAATGACCAAGTTTGAAGCCTGAGTCGGGAAAGTCTCACCACTGACATTACACTTTCCTGTGAGCCCTGCAATGTACTTTCTGGACCACCGATTCCGACGGAACTGATTCCAAGGGAATGTTTCTTGAGTGGTGAGGCTGGAAAAAGCTGACCTTCCCAAGCCTAGAAGAAAGGCTGGAGTGGACAGTACATCAGGGGTGGGCCATGGGGAAAAGTCCCCTGGACGTGTATGGAATAGAGAGCCGCAGAATTGGCAGAACCCATGGGTGATGGAAGACTACATAACAGGTCTGTGGACCATGGAAAGTTGCAATGAGGAGCTGTCTCTCCCCTAGTCCTCCAAGTATTGAGAGTGAGGGGTTAACATATGGTGGTCACTGTCATAAGCATGAAAAGCAACAAAAGGGCTGGAGAGGTAGCTCAGTGGTAGAGAGAGAGTTTGCCTAGCATGAGGATCAATCCAGGGTTCAATATTCCCAACAGCAAAAGAAAAGAAAAAAAAAAGCAAAGTACTGGAATACAATACTTTGCCCAGGTACCATAGGCAGTGACTTGGATGTAGTAAGCTTTCTCATGTGGACCACAAGCCCACAAATAACAACATGGAAACTTTTAATTATGAAATCTTGACCTTAATCTAAGTTTTTTTTCTAAGTAGCTCTTATAACTTAATTAACCTATTTCTATTAACCTACGTTCTATCACATGGCTCAGTTGCCTTAGCTCCATTATCTTTCCTCTGTTCCTCATGTCCAACTTGTTCTGTATTGGCTGCCATTGCTTGTGCACGTAGATTGGTCCCTCTGATGTCCTCTCTCCACCTGGAAGTCCTGCCTATTCTCTCCTGCCTAGCTATTGGTTATTTTGCTTCTTATTACACCAATCACAGCAACACATCTTCACACAGTGTATAAATATCCCACAATACCTGTCTCTGGAGCACTTAGGCCATAGATTGTTGCTAAAGGAACAGCGGGCCACTTCCCGCCACCCAGCTACCTTTACCTGAAATAATTACACAGAAACTGTATTCTTTTAATCACTGCCTGGACCATTACCTCCAGCCTCTTATTGGCTAACTCTCACATATTGATTCAACCCATTTTTAATAATCTGTATCTCACCACGAGGTCGTGGCTTACTGGGAAAGATTCAGCATGTCTGACCTGGCAGCTTCATGGCGGGCAGCTCTCTGCCTCTGCCTGACTCTGCTTCTTTCTTCCAGCATTCTATTCTGTCTTCTCCGCCTACCTATGTTCTGACCTATCAGGCCAGGCAGTTTTCTTTATTAATTAACCAATGAAAGCAACAGATAAATAGAAGACTCTCCTACATCAATAGATGAGTTCAGAGGTCACCAGCTGGGATTCCAGGGTCTCATGTCTCAGGACAAAGGGTACAGGGCCACATGGACAGTGTTAGAAGCAGAGACAGTTTACTAAGAAGGGGAACTTCTCCAAGTACTGAATAGTCTAGAGAGGTGGAAAAGGGTGGAGACTCTTAACAGCTTCCAGCCATTAGGATAGTGAGCCTTTGTGGGTCATTTAAATAGTCCTCGCCCTCTCTGTTATGTTGCATGAAACCCTGGTAGGGAAGGCTTTACAGTCTGTCTTCCAGCTGGCTTCCTTCATGGTAACCTTGACACCTGTCTCCTGTGCCCTATTGTCACACTTAGGTCCAAATCTCAAACCCACGAATCAAAAGCTTTGTGCGTTGGACAGTTTCTTGACTTTCCTGGGCCTCAGTTTGCTCTGCTGGGATGTGAAGACAACAGTATCCATTTCACAGATAACGGGGAAGATTTAAATCCATCAACACGCTTGATTTGATCAGAAGTACCCGGCACCAGGCAAACACCGTGCATTCGACTAGGAAAACAACAGCAACCTGACGTTAAACAGCCAGATAGGAAAGCCTGCTTCGTTTTCTTTTTCTGAAAGTTCTGGGGTGCTGATAGATCTTAAGGGGGGGGGGGGCTTCAAAGTGGGCAGAATGTCCCGCCAACAGGGCATTTGAGGTTTAAGCTGGGAAAGAGAAAGATAAACGTGAACCAATCTGCTCGCAAGTTCTCATACTATTTCCCTTTCTGGTCCATCACCAGCATCTTAGAAAGGCGGAGAAGCCCGTAAAGCTGGTGGATCTTGGCACCAGCAGCCGTGAAACAGAACCTCTCAGGTTAAAGAAGTTGGAACCGACTCGCCAGGATTTGCCACAGAAATTCAAGGGAAATGATTCTTTACTGAAACTGTCGTCCCCCAGTGTGCTAAAGGAGGCAACAGAGCAGGCGGTAGCTCATGACTTATCTTGGAAGTGGAACGAACCTTGGAAGGTCATAAAGAAGCAAGCAAGTTCCCGCGCCTTTCCCTGATTCCTGATCCCACAGAAACTCGCAAAGAAAAGGAGAGCCAAGGCTGGCCCGGGCCTCGCTCCGGGTCTCCGGCAGAGGCCGCTGCAGCCGGGGAGGGACACTAGGATGCCGAGTGCTCCGCCCCGCGGCCTCTCCTGCCTGCTCGGTCCCCACCACCTTCTGCAGGTGCGTCTTATGCCTGACTGGGGGTGGGGTGGGGGTCCTAGCTTTGTCCTGGCTCTGCGCGCCCCACCCCGCGCATGCGCGGCCGGGCGTCGGTAGGGAAGCCTGCGACTGGGTGGGTAGCGGAAACTCCTGGGAGCAATTGGGCCCCCGGAAGGCGGTGACCTGGAGGAAGGGCACTTTGGCTAAGGTGACAGGGGCAGGCTGTAGTGGTGGCGATGGGAGTGCAGAAAGCAGCGGCTGGCGACACAGTCTGAAGATAGAGAGGTAGAGCCCGTAGGATTTGATGATCATAGCAACAGAGAAATGGGGAAAGGTTAAGGCCAAGCCAGCAGCCGGAGGATGGTGCCCCAAAGTTTTGCGAGTCGTGTGGAGGTTAGGGCGGGGGATGGGGAGTAGAGGCGCAGTTTTCAGCTCTGGGAAGATGGGAGATCAGGAGCGATCAGCTGCAGCGAGGTTGGAGGAAAACCCTCAGAGGGTGGGGGCTGGAAGCCCTGCACGCACGTGTTCGGAGAGGTTGGGTCCTAGGCTGTACTCTTTCTTAGGTTTTAATGCCAGGTAGCCTTGACAGGAGCGGGTGCGAGTGGAGCCAGTCCGCGTCAAAGTCTGGGTCTGGTGTTTTGATCTCAATTGTGGAGCTTTTGGTGTCCAAAGAGTCTTTGCTGACAACCTGTGAACGTTTCTGCCAATACAGTTTCATATATTCTAACCCAGGACTTATAACGCCTGCATTTCAGTTGATAAGAGATAACGGTGTATATTTCTGGGGTGCGATGGGGTGTTTTAATTTATGTATTATATATAATAAGAGTAAGTCAAGCTAATCAACCATCTTGTCTACCATCTTACTTTTTTTTAGTGGTAAAAACTTTTCTAGTTTACTTGTTTCATAATTTTGAAGCGTGCAGTCCATCATTATCTACTATGGTTACTGTGTATTCCCTCTTGCCCAGAGTGTGTGCCCCTTGACAAACATCTCCATGCCCCATATTGTCCCCCATGCCCAGTCCCTGGTAACCATCACCCTGTTCTTTGCTTCTGTGAGTTTGACTTTATATACTCCATACGTCAGGTCAGGGTGTCTGCCTGGCTGTGCTTAGTTTATTTCACTTATTTTAATAGGATCATCCACTTTGTCCCAAGCGATAGAATCCTTTCTTTTAATATTGCATTGCATATGCATAGGCTACATTTTATTTATTCCTCTGTTGATTAACACCTAGATTGTTTCCATGTGGATAACACAAAATTTAGCATTCAAGTGCAGATGCTTCTCCTACATATTGACCTTCAGTCCCTTTAGAACAAGCTTGCTAGAATGTGTGGTAATTCTGGTTTGAATTTTTGAGGAATCTCCTTGTTGTTTTCCAGAATGGCTGTGCTGACATTTCCTCCACATCCTTGTTAACATTAGCTTTTGTCCTTGTGATAAAAGCCACGCCAGCAGATCCGAGGTGATAGTTCATTGGGATTTCATTTTCCTTGCCTCAATATCTTCTTTTGAGAAATACCCATCCAGGAGCTCTGCTCATTTCTAAAACTAGGCTGCTTTCTTGCAACTCAGTTTAAAAATATATAAATATATTTTATATATGTAAATTGTGTGTATGTGTGTGTGTGTGTTATGTACAGGAACATGACATGGCACTCAGTGGAGATCAGAGGACAATTGCAGGAGTTGATTCTCTGCTTTTATCACCACGATTGAACTCAGGTCTTCAGGCTTGGTGGCAAATGCCTTTACCCCCTGAGTCATATCACCAGCCCTCCGTGTATTTTATTTAAATTACTTACAACTTTTTGAGATTTATTTTTTTAACTTAATGTGTGTGGGTGTCTTGCCTGTATATATTTCCGTTTAGCGCGTGTGTGGTATCCGAGGAGGCCAGAAGAGAATGTTGAATTCTCTAGAACTGGAATTATAGACAGTTGTGAGCCACCATATGGATGCTAGGAGTCAAACTCTGGTCCCCCGGAAGAGCAGTCGGTGCTCTTAACTTCTGAGCCATCTCTCCAGAAGCCCTCCATATAGTTTAGACATTAGCATTTATCAAATGTATGGTTTGAAGTATTTTCTCCCACTGTGTAAATGACTGATTCTTTATCAGCCTGTTTTGTGTTTCTGCTTCTATTACCCGTGTTTAGGCTCTAGCTAAGAAATCACTGCCCAAGCCATGTCAGGACTTCATCTCTTTTTCTCTTGGCGTGTCAGGTTCAGGTGATGTGTTTAAGTCTTTAATCCATTTCTAATTGATTTTTTTTTATGTGTGATATGAGGCAAGCAACAGTGAAACCTGGGCTTGGTGACTCACATCTGTAATCCTAGCTATTATAAAGTTGGAACAGAACTGTCATGACTTCCAGGCCAGCCTGGACTGCATGGTGAGTTCTAAGCCAGCCAGTTTGGGGTATAGTCTGAGCCCCTGTGTCAATCTTCTTCCTCATTCGCCAGACTCAGATATCTATTCTGGCTCCCTTTTCCCCACCTTTCCAGTTTGAGCATCCCAGGCTTCCTGTGCAGTGTCTCTACTCACAACAGAGACAGGTTACCCTGGAAATGTCAGTATATTTGCATCTGATTTCTAGTTGGGGGTTACTGTGATACAATGCACACGCTGTCAAAATCACTGTTTTTATTTTACAGTTCACAAGCTGTCAAAAAAAAAGCATAACAAAAATAAGGATGCAGAACTTTCCATTGTGAGATGGCTCCTGTCTGCTGATCTATGACCGAGACCCAATAATGGGATTTCTATCCTTATAGTTTTTCTTTCTCAGAACATCACAATAATGGTCTCAGAGTGCAACTTTTGTGTTGGCCTTCTTAGCATTGTGTGGGGTTTTTTTTCCATTATTTTTATTTCTGTATATGAGCGCTTGCTTACATGTGTGTACCACGTGTGTGCTGGCCTTCTTAGCATTGCATGTGGGTTTTTTCCATTATTTTTATTTCTGTATATGAGCGTTTGCTTACATGTTTGTGTACCACGTGTGTGCCCAGTGCCCAGGAGGACCAGGATAGGATCTCCTAGAGCTAGAGGTACCGATGACGGTAAGCGACGGTGTGAGGGCTGGGATGGAACCTGGATCTTTGGCAAGTGCAGCACATGCTCTTACTGCTAAGTCGTCTCACCAGCCCTAACACTGTGTGTTTGCTTCTTTTATAGAAAGTCCCGGAACTTTCTCTGTAGACCAGGCTAGCCTCGAACTCACAGAGATTCACCTGCTGCTGCTTCCCAAGTGCTGGAATTAAAGGCGCGTGCCACCACCGCCCAGAGTAACTACACTTCTCACTAATGAACAGATGGCCCCGTTTTGCTAGGTGTCTCACGAAGGTCCGTTTTCAAGTGTGTGGCCCCCTGGAGATAGCTTCACCCTTTACACCTTGGCTAACCGTGTGGCGACTGCTGCTGATTGTGCTGGGCAGTGCTCTTCCACTGGGTTTGTATGGTGTTTCTGGTAATCGCATAATGTATCTCGGGAGAGAAATCACACACAAGCAAAACTTTGCCCTTGCATTGCATCATCTGTGGGAGGCAGTTGAGGTTGCCATGTCTTGTTGCCGGTCATGCTATTCTGGATTGCTTGGCGTAGGTAATTGTAGCCATGGTTTTCATGGTGAAGCCGCTGTTGACAAAGCATTAAGGAGTCCTTCATGGGGTTGGGTGTGTGAGCGGTTTGTTCTTTGTCTTGCTGAACAGTCTTCATTGTGTAGAGAATCATTTGTTCAGTGATGTATAAATCTGCTTCTGTTTGGAGTCAAGGACTCTCTGACAGGCCTTGCTGTTCTGTTAAATATAAACTGTGCCACAGAGCACCAACATCAGGGAAGGCCAACGTGACCACAGTGGATCAGGAGAAAATCCAGACCACTTGGTTATCCTTTGTCAACTGAGCAAGAACATTATCTAAACCACAAATCCAAAGGCCCATGACTTTCCAACAACAACTCATCAATGATGTCCCTATCAATGTGCCGTCAAAGTGGCCTGCTTCCTCACAGCAGCCAAACATTTATGTGACCTCTCCGCCATGCCCTCACAGGAGCCTGAGCCGCCCCCATCAGCCCTTTGAGACACTTGGGATTCTTACGGAACCTGCAGCCTTGGGTGTGCTGACAGCCAATTCAATTTTCCACGGAGCTGCTCCTTTATCTCTGTAAAACAGGGCTGGAGAGATGGCTCAGAGGTTAAGAGCACTTGTTGCTCTCACAGAGAGCCAGGATTGGTTTCCAGCACCCATGTGGTGGCTCACAGCTGTTCATAGCTCCAGTCCCAGGGGAAGTGGCACACTCCTCTGAGCTCCTAGGCACCGGGTATGCAGTGCACACAAATCCATGCAAGCAAAGCATTCATGCACCTAAAATAAATGAGTTAAAATAAGATAAAATAAAAAGGTTTCACAGTTAACACCTTAGGAAACACTGACAGTTCGAGCAAGATATTCACATAGATATTGAAACCCTGGCTTCTCTTTGTATTTCTGTATAGACTGTTTCCCACTCACACCTGATTCTTTCACTAATTTCTTAGGAATTCTTAATTTTAAAATACACATCCTCGTAAGTACCAAATTCTTGTCATTCCTATCTCTTATGAAGTACTAATTAGCCTTTTGCTTCCAACCATGTGTTCTGGTGATCTCTATCAGTTGCTACCAAACTCTCTTATTTTGACTCTTAATAACTGGCCCAAATCCACAGAACATAAAGGTCACCATCTGTATTAATTCCTTTTCTCATCGCTGTGACAAAGCACCTGACCAGTCAGCTGACGGGAAGAAGAGTTCGTTCTGGCTCACAGTTTGAGGGGACAAACCATCATGGCAGGGAATGCAGGGTGACCAGAGCGTGAGGCAGCTGGTCGCTCGGCATCAGCAGTCAGGAAATGGAGAGAAAGAATGTTGGTGCCCGGCGAGCTTTCTTTTCTGATTCAATCCACAATCCCAACCTGTGGGATGGTACTACCCACCTTCAGTGTGGGCCTTCCCTCCTCAGTTTCACCTTCCTGGGGCACCCTTATAGGTGACCCCAGAGGTCTGCTTCCATGGTGATCTGACTGGAGTCAAGCTGACAATGAAGATAACACCACACCGTCCTCACCATTTAAAAGTCACAGTGCAGTCATGGTTGGTGGCTGAGACATTCTTCCCCAGAAGTTTTTTTCATCTTCTAAAACGTAAACTTTTTATCCATTATTTTTAAATATACCTCAAATACAATAAAATTAACTTCTTTGAGTGTAGACTTCTGTAAGTTGTGTTAGGCATTGCCATGTAACTGCTGCCATGGTGAGGACACAGGATACTCTCAGCGCTCCCCTTCCCCCTCTCTCTGCATTTCCTCCCCTTCCATCCCGACCACAAGTACAGTCTTGGTTTATTTTAGAATGTTTTAAGAATACAATCATGAATTCTTTACATAAATGTTTGTGTATATGAATGAATGCATATGTACATAGTTGTATGTGTATATGTAGGGACCAAAGGCCACTGTTGATTGTTTTCCTCTATTGCTCTTTTATTTTTAAGATTTTTTTTTTAAATTCATGGGGGGGCATAAGCATTCACACCACAGCACACTCTGAAGGTCCAGGACAGCTAGTGGCCGAGACAGTTCTCTTGTTCCACCATGTGGGTTCAGAGATCAAACTCAAGCCATTAGGCTTGGTGCCAAGCACCATCTCACCAACCCTTTATTTCTGGAGGCAGGGTTCTCATTGAATCTTGAACTTGCCTATTTAGCGAGGCTGGCTGGCTGGCCGACCAGCCATTCTAGTCTTTCTCTGTGTGTCCCCTCCCCTCAGTGCTGAGGTTACAGGCATGTGCTGTCCACACCTAGGTTTCTATGAGTACTGGAGATTTGAACTTACGTCCTTGTGCTTGTTTGGCGAGAATCTTACTGACTTAACCTCTCCCCAGCCCTACTTTCTTTGTGAATAACAGCAGTATTGCACACTGTGAGCATTTTCCCTTGCTTATTTAACTTGTTTCTATGGATGGGGATTTAGGCCTTTTCTGGGCTCTTCTATTAACCCAATGCTCTAATGTGTGTAGATAAGTCATCTTGGATCAATCTTGGATAGAACTATTGTGTTCTATCTCTATTCAAGTCGGTCTAGTCTGTAGCCTGGGCTGACATAGAACTTAGTAGTCTAGGCTAACTTTGAACTGGTAACAATTCTCCTGCTTCTGGCCTCTTGAGAGTTGTGATTGCAAGAATATGCCTCCATATCCAGTCCCTGTTTTCCTCTTATGAAATTTTTCAAGTATAAACTTCTGCTAAACATGCCTCTCAGCTTACAAGTTTCATTGATACATTGAGACCCGTGTCTTACTTGTGGCAGTATACATAGCCCATCTAGTTCCGTTTTCAAAAATCACTTTGTCTTCAAAACTCTTGGATCAGAAGTTCAGGAAGGGGACTGGAGGAATGGCTTAGCATGTCAGGCAGCTCACAACAGCCTGTAACTCCAGCTCCTGGGGATGCAATGTTTCTGGCTTCCATGGTTTTGCTTTCATGTGCACTACCCCCTCCACACATATATATGCACACAGAGACATAATTAAAAATGAAATGTACATTTGGAAAAGGTAGCCAGATTTTAAAAAGTATTTTGTACTGTTACAAATGCACCAGGGTTTGTTGTTGTTATTGTTTTTAAGAATTCTCATGTTTGGGACTTGGGCGATAGCTCAGTCAGGAAATGTTTGTCTTGCAAGCTTGAAGCTCTAACTCTGACCCCAGAACCCATGTTTAAAAAAAAAAAAATCTAGGTGTGGTGGTGTGTGCACCGGGGAGGCAGAAATTGGTAGATCCCTGGGTCTCTTAGCTTTCTTGGCAAGTTCTAGATCCCAGTGAGGAATCCTGTCTCAAATTCTGAGGATCAACACCTTAGGATGTCCTTTGGTCTCCATTTCACACACACGCACACGCACACATACACACACACACACACACACACACACACACACACCCCTCACATTTAACCCCCTCCCAAGCTATGATTCCAAACACGAATGGCCATCAAGATTATCAGTGGCTTGCGGGCTAGGCCAGGTGTCGGACTGTGGTCTGAGGTGGAACTGGAGACCTCCCATTCCTGAGGGTCTCAGACGTGACCGGAGGTAGACAGCCCCACATGAGAGATGCTGCATACCCAAGCAGCAGTCCAGAGCATAAATGAAAACAACCAGGCTGAATAGCATGGCATTCTGTTGCTAAAGGCTTCAATTAGGGTGTTCTTTTTGTTTTATCTTTCTTCTTTCGTTCTGTTTCATTTTTGTTTTGTGGGTTTCTGTTTGTTTGTTTGTTTGTTTTAAGACAGGCCTTCAGCTGAGTGGCAGTGGTGGTGCTGGTGATGCACCTTTTATCCCAGCACTCAGGAGGCAGAGGCAGGTGGATCTCTGTGAGAAGGACAGCCTGGTCTACAGAGCTAGTTCCAGGACAGCTAGGGCTGTTACACAGAGAAACCTTGTCTCAAAAAACCAACCAACCAACCAAACAAACAAACGACAAAAAAAATGACAGGCTCTTGTGTAGCCCGGGTGTGGCTCTGAACTCCCCAGTTGCTGAGGATGACCTTGAACTCCTGCCCCTCCTGCCTCCATCTCGTGTTATAGGGCATTCTTACCAATATAGTCCTTTATTCACCAAGACCTAACTTGGGAGTTTTCAGCTTCACCATTGCAATGTTCCCTTTGTAGTTCAGTGTTCAATAAGGCACGAGATAAGAATATGGTGTGTAGATCCAGATGCTGCCCAGTATGCCTAGGTTTCACCCAGCCCCAAAACCTTAAAAAAACATTCCTCTTAGCATGGTGACATGTGGGCTTGTAATCTCAGGCTTTGGGAGGAACATTATTCAAGGCTACCCTGTAATATATAACTAGACTCTGTCTCAAAAAAAAAAAACAAAAAAAATAAAATTAGAAATCATAATATGTTTGGTCTTTATTCTAACAGATTTTACACTAAGTGGTGTTGTGAGTACATTTGAAGTAGGCTGGACTAACATTGTTCTGTTGGCTGAGTATATTTATGAGATTTTCCACTTAGGACTAGTTATCTTGAATCAAGTAGCAAAATGTTTAGACTTATATACAGCAATAACTCCTCTAAGGAGACAAAGAACGCTACGTATTTAAGCTACATCGTTTTGTAACTTTTCTGTAGCCTGCTGGAGAAGCAGTACTTCAAAGAAACCCTGATGCGACCGCTCCAGATAGTTCCCGGCCGGCTCATTTCCCAACTGTGTTGTAGACCGAAGCCTCCAGCCTCCCCGCGAAGCAAGATCTGCCTCACCATGGCTCGTCCAAGTTCAAGTAAGTCATCCTTATCAATGCCTACGTTGGTCACGGTGCTGAGGAAGCTGTAGCATGATTTTCACAGGGCAAGTGAGCACGAGGAGAATTTTAGATGCTTGGTGTCTGGTGGGCCTCAGGTCAGGTTGTCTAGTGGGCCTCAGGTCAGGTTGCTCACAAGCACAGAGGCTTTCTTGTCTTGGCTTTCTACAAGAAATCTGGATCCATCAACTCTTTTATATTTACATGACCATGTTTTAAGGTAAGAGCATCATGCATGCCAAGCAACCCACAGAACTGAGTATACATAGTATAAGCCCTTTAGATCACACAGTGGGCTGGAACGTGGAGCTGAGATGCCATGCTAGGTGTGTGCCCAAAGCCCTCATTTCCTTGAGATACCATACACTTACCCATCAAGTGTACACGATGATGTCTCCATGGTACAGGGAATGTTTTTTTAAACCTTATTTATTTGAGAAATAATCAAATCTCACCAGCCCAGAGGAATACTTTTTATTGGGATATCTTAAATCTTTCAGTTTTTGAAGATTTATTTATTTAATGTGTGCGAGTGTTTGCCTGTATGTGTGTATGCCTGTGCCTGGTGCTCACAGAGGTCAGAAGAGGGCACCAGAAATATCTGGAACTGAAGTTAGAGATGGTTGTGAAGTACCAGGTAGGTGCTGGGAACTGAACGCCAGTCCTCTGTAAGAGCAACAAGTGCTCTTGATTGCTGAGCCATCTTCGGCCCCTATTGGAGTATCTTACAGTGTAATTTTATTCCAGTTTCATGCTATAGACAATCGGTGTGGAATATAAGTGTCCACTGGGTTGACACAGGTTTTATTTTCTGTTTAGATATGGCAGATTTTCGGAAGTGTTTTGCAAACGCCAAGCACATAGCCATCATCTCAGGGGCTGGCGTTAGTGCGGAGAGCGGGGTTCCAACTTTCAGAGGAGCTGGAGGTTATTGGAGAAAATGGCAAGCTCAGGTGAGTAACGCTTCCAGAATTCCAAAGGCTTTTCCGAAGGAAGCTATTATGGCGATGGATTCCGCATCCACATATATACCTGAAGCCCAAGGGCAGTGTTTGAATTTGGCAGTAACCATTTTGTCCTCTTGGTTTTGGTGTCAACACAGTCTCTCTGATGACGATGGAAGCAAATTTGGGGCCAGGGAGATGGGTTTAGTGCATAAGAGCACTTGCCGTGCAAACATCAAGGATGGGAACCTGAGTTTGACTCCCAGCATGCTCATAAAGAGCGGAGCACACCTGTATGCTCGAAACCCCAGCATTGGAAAGTGGAGACAGGAAGATCCTAGAAGCTTGCTGTCCAGCCAGCCTAGCCTAAACGGCAAGCTTCTAGTTCTCTGAGAGACCGTGTCTCAAGGGAGTAAGGCAGACAGCACCAGGAAGACATCTTCCTCTGACTTCTGACTACTCATGCACACATGTGCACATCTACATGCTCATGTGTATGAACCATGAAACACACACACACTTCACCTCCTAAAGGGAGTGCAAGACTGACCAAAGTCAGGATTGTACCACCGTCCAGTTGGGTGAAGTACTTTTACTGGAGTTATAGCAAGAGTCCGGGTGAGGAGTTATTGTAAATAGCAGCATACATGACGTCCACAAGCTGTGGCCATGGCGCCTAGGACCCCAGAGCTCCTCCATGAGGTTTGCAGGCAGCCCTGTAGCCTGAACATCTTTCTCTCTGGGAGGTCAGAAGTCAGCATCTCAGATCACAGCAGCTGTTTGATAGGCTTCTTTTCCAGATTAACACGGTCTGAAATGCTGTGTTTGTTGAGTGCATGGTTCCATATGGACCCAAGGTACCACAGGCAGGATACAGAACATTTCCATGACTGTTTAGAATTTCCTGTGCACTTCCTGTCAGCGTCCAGCCCAGACAGCTGTGCTGTGCTCTCTCTCACGGGAAAGACCTGTCTTAGAAGAGGGCCAGGACCTTAATTATAGATTTTTCATGTATTCTGTTAATATGTATTGTTTTATGTATGCATGTATTTAATGTGGCTTATATGTGTGTATGGTTGGGTCCATATCCATTTCTGTCTAGTCTGTAAGTATGTATGGCTGTATGTGCGCATGTTTATGTGCTGGGTATCTGGGGTGAGGGGTGGTCACCTAGGGTACCAGCGAGTGCATTCCATAGGACCAAGAATTGTATGTCCTGGAGAGACTCAGATGGGAATGTCAAGTAACTGGGAGACAGAGAAAAGCCACTGGCTGTGTGACAGTCGGAGAGAGATCTGAGGCAGGGACATGCCCTGCCCTGCCCTGCCCTGCCCTGCCCTGCCCTGCCCTGCCCTGCCCTGCCCTGCCCCAAAGTGGAATCAGAGACCCTAAGGGTTCAGAGGCAAAGTGGATTATCATCCTGGGGGCAGTTGACGGAGTGAAAGTAAGTTACAGATTGAAGCAGAACCGGAAGGACCTGCCACAAGAGAAAAACAGCAAAATGGACAAACTTGGTTATAACAAACAGCTCCTATCAAGGGCATGGGCGGGGCCCTGGAGGTAGTCTGCCAGAGACTCTAGTTTGGAGTTTTCATAGACTCCTAGGAGTCCTCCCCCTGCTGGCCATTTTATAGCAGGTCAGTCTCCTGGGGTGGGGGTGGGAAGGTGGGAGGGTAATGGGGTGCCACCCCTACCTTCCAAGCAAGGAGCAGTCTTTATTAAAGGGGCTGAGCTCTGTTTTCCAGATTGGCCCAAGCTCTCTTGACCTTCCTTTATATATGTATATGTGTGTAGTTTATAAATACATAGCCATATGCATGTGTGTAGTTTTTATATGTAAATACATACATGTGGTTTGTGTGTAAATAGATGTATCTATACAGTTGTATGTCTGTCTGTATATATTTGTTCATGTGTAAGTATATGTAACTAAATGTTTATGTTTAGTTGTATGCATGTACACGTGTACCTCTGAGTACATGTAACCATATGTACATAGCTAGAAATATTGTATAGTTATGTGTAAGCATATATATTTATGTGTGTGTGTTGTGTGTGTGGTTTACATGTTATAATATGTAGCTTCATGCAGGTAATTGTGTATATGTGTGTATATGTATCTGATTTGCATGTAAGTATGTATAGCTTTGTTTGTATGTAGTTATATATGTACGTGCATATGTGTGTGGCTTACATACAAGTGCATGTAGCTGTATCTATCCAGATACTTCCCACGTGTCTCTTTACTTCCTATTTATAATTTGTGAGATGAGTGAGGTAGGGTTCATTGCTTCTGTCTCATCAGTAGGGAAGTGGCCTAAGTCCTGGGTTAGTCCCAGGGCTGGGATCTAGGCCAGAGCTACACAGTCTAGCCAGACCTACAGCGGCCCCTCTCCACCTCCACAGGTCCCTCTCTGACTTCTGCCTCTCCCCTCAGGACCTGGCGACTCCGCAGGCCTTTGCCCGCAACCCATCACAGGTGTGGGAGTTCTACCACTACCGGAGGGAGGTCATGAAGAGCAAGGAACCCAATCCTGGGCACCTGGCCATTGCCCAGTGTGAAGCCCGGCTACGTGACCAGGGCCGACGGGTTGTAGTCATCACCCAGAACATCGATGAGCTGCACCGCAAGGCTGGCACCAAGAACCTGCTGGAAATCCACGGTGAGGCAGACCAGATTTATTTTTGTTGTTGTTTTTTACAAGACAGGGTTTCTCTGTGTGTAGCCATGGCTGTCCTGGAACTCACTTTGTAGACCAGGCTGGCCTCTAACTCACAGGGATCTGCCTGCCTCTGTCTCCTGAGTGCTGGGATTAAAGGCGTGCACCACCACCACCCCTGCTGGAGACCAGATTTTAAAACAGCCTCTCCACCCTACGCACCTCCTCACACCTGTCCCTCCTGTAGGACGTTGTAGCCCTTCCCTGGGGAACATGCTGGTGCCTGATAGCACCTGAACAGCTTCTGCTGGCGGCAAGGGACGTCTTGCTCCCTGGCGCCCCTCCCTCGTTATGTCATGTAATCTGCTAGTTGGGGTGGTTGCTTCCCTCTCGATCCCTTCAGTTATATCTGAACATCACCCCAGGGTCAACTAGGAGAAGTCAGCCATGTGGTTGTTTCCCCTCCAGGTCATGACATCTTTGAAGGAGTTTGGTTTTGGCTCGTCAAACAAGTCGTGCATGTCTGGCGGTTGGAATGATTCCCATAGGCCCATATATTTGAATACGTAGTCATCAGGGAGTGGTACCATCTGAGAGCTAGGAGGTGTGGCCTTGTTGGAGGAAGTATATCACTAAGGGTGGATTTTGAGGGTTCAAAAGCCCAAGCTAGGCCCAGGGTGGCTCCCTCTGCTTGCAGATCAGCTACTGCTCCAGGGCTGTGAATGTGGTCATGCTTCCGCTGTACGCCGGGCACAGTGATAACAGATTAACTCTCGGAAACTGTAAGCAACTAAATCCTTTCTTTTATAGTTGCCTTGGTCATGGTGTCTCTTCACAGCAATAGAACAGTGACAAAGACAGCATGGGTTTATATTTCCCATGATTCCTAGCGTAGATCCACTCGTTAAATAAAAATGAACATAGGAAGCTGAGTTGTTTTCCTGCCTCTCAAACATGGAGACTTTGCTCTCAATGATACTGAGTTCTGAGCTTGCTTGACACAATGTCTTTTCTTTCAGGGACCTTGTTTAAAACTCGGTGCACCTCATGCGGCAATGTCGCTGAGAACTACAAGAGTCCAATTTGTCCAGCGTTAGCAGGAAAAGGGTAATTACATCATGCTGCAGAATACATGTCATTTCCCCTTGAACTGGACGTAAATGTGAGGAAATTGAATATTCACTGATGATTCTCGTGGGTATTTCTAATGCATAAGATTGTCTAGTGTCTACTGTACAGATATCTGATGAAAGAAATATTTGACTCATAATTTAGCATGCTAAGGAAAAGCTATCAGATGCCAGAGTATTTGCTGTGTGATCTGATCCCCAAATTTTATTTCTACAAATTCACATTCCCTTTTCATGAATTCGTATATTAGCTAAAACATCACAAGGAAAGACCAGAAAGGACTAACTGTAACTGTGAGGAACAGAGAGATTTTGGGTAATTTTTATTTCTCATTCATATCATTGGGAATTTCCCAACATTTTTATGATGAATGTGTATTATTGTTATAAGTAGGAAAAATTAAGGAAACTGCTGAGAAAAAAATTCTTCGGGACCATTTCAGAGCAGTATAAACTTACCAAAGTAAAAAGCTAACATAATTTCATTAGAGAAGCAACAAACATCCCGTTGAGACTCCCCTACACAAATTCCCTCTTGAAGCAAAGCCAGTGGTCAGTGTTTAGGGTCCATGCTTCTATAAGCCTTCTAAGTTAGCATGTGCGAGCAAGTTTGGCACCATATACTGCTGGGCACTACACAAATGACTATGTCACATTCTTCCTTCTCTTTCTTGCTATTTACTTTAGGGCTCCAGAACCAGAGACCCAAGATGCCAGAATCCCAGTTGACAAACTTCCCCGGTAAGTAAGAAAAATGGATGTATAGCTGGTGTTCAAGGTTGCAGAAAAGAAAAATTAGAAATCAAAATCTCAACTCTTTGTGTGTATGTGAGATGCCTTTGAAATGTCCAAATGCAACCATCAGCCCCAACCTCTGAGTCCAGGGGCAAAAGGACCAAAGATGAAACACTTTCCAGGTTTTTTGTTTTTTGTTTTTGTTTTTTTTTTTAAAGAGCCTGTTTCACTGCATTGCCCAGGCTGGCCTCAAATCCCTAGGTCTGAGGGATCTTCCTGCATCAGGCCCCACCCCCCAATAGTTACAAATACATTGGCCGACTTTGATCTCTCTGTGTTTTAAGTCATGACAGATGAGGTCTGGGAAGTTCAATGACTTATCTCCGCAGATAACATGGAGAGCAATGGGGTAGACGCCCAGGTCGACCTCTGATCTCCACATACACACGTGCACAGGCAAGAGCATCAGTCACGTGTGCACATGTGCACATATACAAAACAGCAAAGTGTGAGCTCACGCCTTTAATTCCAGCACTGGAGAGGCAAAGGCAGGTGGGCTTCTGTGAATTCCAGGACAACCTGGTCTATACAGAGTGAGTTCCAGGACAGTTTAAGCTACATATCAAGATCCTGTCTCTATTATCTCTAAAAACCAAAAAAAGGTTTAAGTTTTAAATCTTTGTCTATGTGTGTATGCCTGCATGTGGGTATGTATTTCGGAGCAGTACCCTTGGAGGTCAGAGGTGTTTGGATTCCCATGTGAATCAAAGGAATTCACAGATGATTATGACCCACTAGACTAGTGAGGGTCCTCTGAAAAAGCAGTAAGCTCTCCACTACTGAGCCATTCCTCCAGCCCTGAATCAGTTCTTCCTAAAACGTGGTTATGCTATATTGATACTTCTTTGGTTTATTTTAACCATAGACCCTTTTCATTTCTTTCTTTTCTTTTCTTCATCTTTTTAAAATAAGACTTTTCATTAATAAATTCTGAAGTTTCAATAGAAAAGATTAGGGATTCTAGAAGTTTCCTTAATAAGATGAAGCTGATAGTAGGCAGAAGATTTTAGAACATCAACCTAGACCATATTACCTAGAGGTAATAGGGAGTGAACGAAGAGAAATCCCCCACCCCAGCAAGGTTTATCTGTCTAACCCTGGCTGTCCTGGAACTCACTCTGTAGACCAGGCTGGAAGACTGAGGCAGGAGGATCACAAGTTCACGGTTAGCCTGGCCCACAAGTGCATTCAAGGTCAGCTGTGGCGATTTAACAAAAGTGTCTCAAAGTCAAAAGTCAGAAGGAAGCTGGGGAGGCCATCTGTTGGGAGAACCCCTGATCTACTGTACACAGAGCGCTGGGTTCCAGCAAGAGGCAGAGTGAGGTGGAGAAGAGCGAGAACTTGGCCGCAGGCCAGTCTCGGGAAAGACGTGATCTGCAAGAAAGCGCAGGAGCCGGCTCACTGGTGGAGACAGGTGGTTCGGGTTGGGGCAGCTCTGAGGTTGCTGTTGTGCCCAACTCTGGGCAATGGGAGTGTGTTTGAGCCAATGAGTGCACCAAGGGGAGAGAAACAAGCTTTTAGAGCTAGCAGACCAAGCTTAGCCGAAACAGTGTCTACACAGCTCCGTAGATGAAGACAAGATAAGGGCCCACTAGGGCAAAGTCACCTAAGTGCCCCACATCCAGGGCAAGTTCCCATTCCTGGCCTGAGTAGCAGCCCTGCTTTCCTGGGATCCTGGGCAGTCCTGGCCCAAGCAGTTAGAGCTGATTCAAGGCTGACATTCTTCCAGGTGTGAGGAGGCAGGATGCGGTGGCTTGCTGCGACCTCATGTGGTGTGGTTTGGAGAAAACCTGGATCCTGCCGTTCTGGAGGAGGTGGACAGAGAGCTCGCCCTCTGTGACCTGTGTCTAGTGGTAGGTCATGCCCGTCCCTAGTCTTCAGGAACTGGAAAGACTGGGGTGGAGTCTTCTGGTTGCCATCTTCCTCCCTTCTTCCTTGTCCTTCCACTTCTCTTCCTCCTTTTCTCCTTCACTCTTTCTCTTCTTCTTCCCCTGAAAGATGTGTGTAGGTGGACTTTTCTTTCCCACCAGACAGTTCCCAAATAGCCACACTGAGACTTATTATTAATTATAAATGCTCAGCCGATAGCTCAAGCTTATTACTAGCTAACTCTTACATTTTAAATTAACACACATTTCTTATCTACACACTCCTACATGACTTAGTATCTTTTCTCACTGTGGCACGTTCATCTCCTTTTCTCTGCAACTCCTGGAGATTCTGAGACTCCTCTCTTCTTCTTTTTCACGCTCTCTTTTTGTCTGTAAGTCCCACCTAACCTCTACCTGTCAGCTTCTTTATTAAACCAATCACTGTAACATATATTCATACAGTGTAAAGGACTATTTTACAGATTTGAGTGAAAGTCTCATAGTGTCCTGCAGAGAAAACCGAGAAGTAATCTCTTTAAAAGATTGGTTTCCTTATTTTGAATTACGTTTAGGTGTGAGTATGTGCACCTGAGCTCAGCAGCCTCGGAGGCCGGGGCTTTGGGTCTCCTCGAGTTCCAAGTAGTTGCGAGCCACCCGGCATGGGTGCTGGGAACTAATTCTGGGTCCCCTGGCAGAGCAGCAACTGTTCTTAACCATCTCTCCAGGCCCAAGACCTGATCTTAAAGAATGAAGCTATGCATAAGCATGTTCTGAGCATCTTTAAAAGCCTCACGTCCCCCACAAAGTAACAAAAGGAACATGCTTTTATAGTGCAGTATAAATTTAGAGATGTAATGAATAGACTAGAGTTTCTTACTTATCTGTCACATGTGTGTGCATGATGCCTGTGTGCGAGTGTGCCACACATGGAGGTCAGAGGTCACCGCTGTAGAGTCAGCTCTCTCCTTCCACCTTTGCATGGGTTCTAACGGACACACTTGGGTCACCAGGCTTTTTCAGCAAGGTCCTTTATTTGCTGGGCTATCTTGCCAGCCCTAGCCTAGATTTTTAAATATAATACATGCTCATTATTAAATGTCATTGATAAACTGTGAAAGAATCAAAACCTAAGAAGGAAATTAGAAACCAGCGCATTATAGCATCTGGAGACAATCACTGGTAGCATTTGATGTTTTCTTCTAGACCAGGAGTTGAGTCCTTTTGGCAGAGAGCAGATGACCTACAGAACCTAGCAATTTTAATATATGGCTCTTTCCACAAAAAGTTGACTACTTCTGATTTAAACCCTTCCATATATATTATATATAATACACATTCTGTTTTGAGACTGTTTTATTCATATAATAATTCAGTTGGCATATCCCATGCCAATATATCCAAAGCTGCCACATCTTTTAGTTTACTATATGATTTTTCTAGTACACACATGATAATGAAGCACCATTAATAAAAACTCAGAGAGAGAAATCGGGTTCAACCTGAAGACCTGAAAAGTAAAATAGTCAGCCACAGGCTCACCTTGACCTCAGTCTGAAATGGCAATCTTGCCTCCACGAATCTCAGAATGAGACTGTGTCTGAGAGCAGTCTCCTCCTGTTTTATAATCCTCTCTAGTTCTGGGATTAAAGGCGTGCATCACTGGGATTAAAGGCATGCACCGCCCAGTTTCTATGGCAACTAGTGTGGCTACTGGGGTTAAAGTGTGTGTCACCACTGCCTGGTCTGTAAGGCTGACCAGTGGGGCTGTTTTAGTCTCTGATCTTCAGGCAAGCTTTATTTGTTAAAATATAAATGAAATATCACTACATGATATAGTGAGAAAATCCTCTATTACAGGACATTTGGGTTGTTTCAGGTTGTTTTTTGAATAGTGTCTAATGTAGCCCAGGAGGGTATCATATCACTGTATAGCCAAAGCCAGATTTGAATTCTTCATCCTCCTACCTCTACCTCTCACATGCTAGGATTACAAGTCTGTACTCTAGGTCCAACTTAGGCTGTTTCAGATTTTGATATTTGAAGCAATGTTGCATGAATACATGTAGATGGGAATCTTAGCATGTTCCTCAAGCAGTTTCCTTAGGACACAGTTCCTAAAGGTGGAATTAACTAGAAAGAGCATGCAGAGTTCAGAGTTTCTCTAATATGTCTTTAAAAGCAGAGGCATTTTGTGCTGGGGCTATCGCTGTTCTGTATTAACTATGCACAGCCCATGTTGAGTGCCGCCTCAGTGGTCATGGTGGTCACTAGTGAGAAAGCTTGGTTTGCAGCATGTGCTGTGGCCTTTCCATGCCTGTGAAGGGTGTGTGTGCATGTCAGAATATTAACAATGATTACTCCCAACCGTGGACAAAAAACGTGGATCATTTGCACAACTTCAAAGACCAAAACCATAGAGACCCCTAGTCATGTCCCTTGGGCCATTTCTTTGCTTCTTTGTCTACTTATGTAATTAACTGTTCTTTTGTGTCACATGGCTCTTCCCCACTTCCAGTGATTGGCCAAACACCAAAGACAGGACATGGCCTTTACCTGTCCCCAAACTGCAGTTCTGTCATCTGACTGGGCTTTCCTCACACACCCCCATCCACACCCCGGCCCGAGTAAGTGTCCCTCCCCTTTCGTCTCACCTACCGGCACTCATTGTCCAATTGCCTTGTAGGTGGGAACATCCTCTGTGGTCTACCCAGCTGCCATGTTTGCCCCTCAGGTGGCTTCCAGGGGAGTCCCAGTGGCCGAGTTTAACACGGAAACCACCCCAGCCACCAATAGATTCAGGTATAGTGAAGGATGACCAAAGCTGGGTGACGGGAGGTGGAGCGCGGGCTTGGAGATGCCATCCCAATAGACTGTACAGTCCTGGCTTCTCTGGAGGAGGAGACGGGAGAACGGGGGCAAAGAAGGGAGTTTGTGATCTTCTGTTTGGTTTGTAGCTGACTGTTTTGGAAGAGCAGAATACCATTACCTGCAGGCTGGGTCACTCTTTCACTACATGGGAGTTTCCATAGAATTTCTGTTTTCACCTTGGCACTTCATGGTCTTCTCTAGACTTTACACTTGCCTTTGTGGTTTTTCAAGTAGGTGTGGTCACAGCATTTACCCATAGGTGAGAGGCACCATTGCCCCATTCGGATGGCTTCCCTGGGTGATCACTATTACAGTAAATGTGAGGCATTTTCTGATTACCTCAACATTTTGACTGACGGAACCTCAAGGGTCCGTGCGATGCCAGGATTTGTACTTGGCTGAAACAGAGATGGGCTGTGTACTCGCCACTGCTCGGTTTGGGGCCTTTTAGTACTTGGATCCATCGGTGCTCTCAGCCGCCATGTTGTCTTTTTGTCCCATCTTCAGAATTTAACTGAAGTATGTGGTGTACCAAACACTGCCATAGTCCCACAGAGAGGATAGATGAGTAACAAAACCCAAACCTACCCTGTGAAGACGAGACACTAGTGGCGGCGGCTAGCAATCAGCGCTGTACCTGGTGGGCACATTATTTGGCTTTTGAGGCACAGAGGCAGTGTGAAGAGCCGAGGTGTAATTGGGAGGGGGGGCGGGGCAAGCGTCAGTCCTTAGAGGAAGCCTCAAGAGATAAAAACAAAGAAAACCAGCCTATAATTCACAATCCCAGAGAACCTAGACAACAATGAGGACCTTAAGAGAGACATACATGGATCTAATCTACATGGGAAGTAGAAAAAGACAAGATCTCCTGAGTAACTTGGGAGTGTGGGGACCATGGGGAAGGGTTGAAGGGGAGAAGAAAGGAAGGGAGGGGAGCAGGGAAAAACGTATAGCTCAATAAAATCAATTTAAAAACTTTAAAAGAGAGAGAGATAAGAGTATGCCGAAAAAAACTTTCCAGATTCAGGGACCACCTGATACAAAGGCCCGGTCAAGGCAGATGCACAGCTGGGCAGTGTGAGGACCGCAGAGGAGTCCACCTGCTGCAGGATAGTCAGTGGGCAGAGTTCTAGGAGAGGCGATTAGGGCCAATAAAGTTTGGTTTCGGGGTGGAGGGAAAGTGGTGGGGGAGGAGGCTTGATGCTGAATACTAATTACTGGTGCTTAGTCACCTAAGAAAGCAGCCTGGAAACCATGTAGGTAGTGATGTCGCTTATCAAAGGTTTGAAGAGCCCTTGCTTTTAAGTCACAGTTGAATGCTCAACTGGCTGTGCCATCCAGTAGGGAATTTTACCTGTGTAGCTGAGCTCCTATTGATCTCTCAGCCTAAAAGTTTCCTTAAGGGAAGTCCAAAGAAAAAGGACACATGCATGCCTTGAATTATATAAACATATATACTTATATATCGTATATAAATATTTTAGTATACATATAGATATATAAGTATAGTATATTTTATATATATGTTTCAAGCACAGTGAGTGCCCCTTAGCTTTCTTTGTGTATTTGTTACTCCTAGGCCTTCCATTTGAAATGGGATCTACTAACAGGGCTCACCTTTCCTCGTCCCCATAGTTTTCCTGGTGGTCCTTTAATATTCCCAGCTCTTATGAATAAAACAAAGCTGCCACCCAAACGTCCTGAGTTAGCTTTCATAGCTGGAGGTAACTGTTTATACTTTAACAGTATAAACAATGGATTCTTCCCAGAAACTCTCAATATGTATATTTCTGTGTGTCTGTGTGGGGGTATGTGCGCACAAGTGCAGATGCCTGTGGAAGCCAGGGTTTGGATCTCTTGAAGCTGGAGTTATAGGCTGTTGTGAGCTGCAAGATGTGGCTGCTGGGAACCAAACCCTAATCCCCTGCAAGAGCAGTATCTTAGTACATGCCATCTCTCTAGCCCCTCCAATTTATTTCTATTTTATTTTGTAATGCTTGGGATTGAACTCAGAGCCTGCGCTTGCTAGACAATCTCTCTAAATCTAAGACAAAACTTCAGCACTAAATATATATCTTAGTTTAGTTTAATACATAACCCAGACTGGCCTCAAACTCATGATTCTCCTGCCTTGGTCTCCTAAGTACTGGGATTATAGGCATGCTCACCAACCCATCTAAACACAGCCCATAGCATGCTCTAGTAATTACTTCTTCCAATGATAGGGCTGTAGCCTCCGGTAGCACAGCACAGAGTGCAGCCACTGGGCTAGTCTCCAATCTGATTTTAATTTTGCATAATCACATTTGTCTACTTTTGCTTTTGTGACCTGTGTTTTGAGAATCAAATCTAAAAGTCTATTGCCCTGACAAGTGTCGTGTGTTCCCCCGCCATGCTTTCTTCTAGTAGTTTTGAATTGCTTTTGTCTGTTGTATGAGACAAGGGTCCGATTTCATTTCTCAGTGTGTGGCTATCTAATTTACCAACACCGTATATTTAAACGACCTTCCTTTCCCCATTGTGTCTCTGGTAGCTTTGCGAAGTCAGTTGACCGTAGACCTTTAGATTTATTTCTGTACTTTTTACTATATTGTGAGGAGGTCATTTACTGCAGAGGTGCTGACTTTGTTCATTATGCTCATGAGTTTATCAGTTATTGAAGTTTGTGTATGTATCTAAGTGATTTAGGATTGTTTTATCTATATCATGAAAAATGACACTGGAATTTCAATAAGGATTATATTATAATATAGCTATTTTAAATAATATTAATATTTTCAAATACATAAACATGGAACATCTTTTCACCCACTTGTGTCTTTATATATATATATATATATATGGATGCATATATAATTTCATTTATGAACTTAGCATTATAATGGTAAAATACACTGCAATCATACACCATGGGAACTCCTTCAGCCAATAGCCTTTAAGATACCAGCCCACTTGGACATGGTCTCTTTTCCTTTAAAAAGCAGTCGTAGCCCTGCATTCGCTCTCTTGCTTCCGGCCCCCACTTCTGGCTGCTAGACTCTACTCTGTTCCTGTTCGCTCAGAGGGCTGTTGTCTAGGACATTGATCTGTAAGTTTTCCCCGGAACTGGTATGGAATTATTTTGTGACTTACGCCTTCAATCATGCTTTCTCCACCTGTCACAATAGCACAGACTTAAGACAGTTGCCTATGACGTGTTACATTTAGTATTGTCATAACTTGGATTAAAGAAGTCCACAAGCTAGGTTTGGTGGCACACATCTTTAATCCTGGCACCTGAGAAATAGAGGCTGGCTGCTCTGTGTGAGTTCAATGCTAGCGTGGTCTACATGGTAAGTTCCAGATCAGCCAGGGTTACATAGTGAGACCCTATACAAAAAAAGTCCATTAAAAATTCAAACACCATTAGTTGTATGCTATCAGCTGCAGTTTTGTGTTCATTTTGTTAACTTGTACCCCTTAATTCTGCTCTATTGCTCCTTCCATTTAGGTTTCATTTTCCAGGACCCTGTGGGACAACACTTCCTGAAGCCCTTGCTCCTCATGAAACTGAAAGGGTTTCGTAATTGTCTTGTGGAAAGAGGAGAAGAACATGTAGTGCATAACCAGGGCGCCAACAGAAGAGGTTTTGTGGATGACAAGCTGAACTTTGGAAAATCTAATACCCTTTGAGCCCCTAGAGGACAATCTGTGAAGGGATTGGGCTTCAAAATACCAACAGCAAGTGTGTTTTCTTTGGAGAGGCTGATGGACTGTCAAGTTCTTCCATCTTATTTGATTTCAACTGAACTATGAGTATTTTGGATTTGCTATTCTCGATCAGTTACTGGGAAGGAAAAATTTGTACTTAAATTGCTTGAGAAGAAGGTAATTATCCTGTTTGTTTGCATCTTGGGCAAAGATAGAAATAGAGAATTAAAACCCTAAAAGTTAAACCCTAGTAATTTTTTTTTGGCCCAAATTTTGGTGGAAATGAAACCATCCTTTATAGTAGGTAACTTATTGTATAAGGATGCTCTTCCAAGAGATGCCTTTGTTGGGGGCGTCTTTCCCCTTTTCTTTTCAGTACTTACCTCGCTTGGATGCCTTACTTTAAAGAATATACAAGAACTCATGCAAGGCAAGAAAGGGAACAACCAAGTAGAAACGTCAGGATGAGAAAAAGAATAATGCTAATCCAGGACGAAGCAGATGAGCTGCCTCTGAGGGAAGGAAGTGATGGATGATCATTGCTGAAGGTCACAGATGAAGGGGCACATCATCTCTGCTGGTCTACATCATCGCTTAGTGTCATAAGCAAGAGGGTATGTGGTTTCTACTGGTCTAAGAGCTCCATTGGACCCTGAAAATGACCTTTTTACCTTGCATTATAATAGCAAGAATGCTGCACTCTCTGAACCCCACCTGCTGATACAGCCCTGGGCCTGAACTATGGCAGGGATGTGAGACCTAGAGAGGAGCAGTGGCCACTAGCGAAGAGGATAAAGGAAGGACATACATAATGCTCTCCCTTGGGTCCAGTCGGTTCCCGAGGTCACTATGCACCTGGGCTGCCTCCCCTCAGCCTGTCTCAGAACTCCTAGTACTCTAGGCATCTGTCAATAGTTAACTTTCTCATGACTGTGACCAAAATTCCTGACAAAAATTAATTTAAAGAATGAAAGGTGTATTGGAGAATGCTTCTCCATTTCCCGGCTGCCCAGACCCGAATAATAATATAGAAACTATATTAATTACAACACTGTTTGACCAATAGCTTAGGCATATTCCTAGCTAGCTCTTACATCTTCAATTAACCCATTTCTATCAATCTGTAGATCACCATGAGGCTGTGGCCTACTGGTAAGTTTCTGGTGCTGTCTTCTTCCTTCAGCAGCTACATGGTGTCTCCCTGACTCCACCTAGTCTCTGTTTCTATTTCTTCCAGCCTGGCTATATTCTGCCCCACCACAGGTCAAAGCAGCTTTTTTATTGGTTCATCAACCAATAAAAGCAACACATACAGAAGGACATCCCACATCATTTTCCCTTTTCTTTCTAAATAAAAAGGAAAATCTTAACTTTAACATAGTAAAATTACATATACAAAGCAGTTATCAAGCAAGAATTATAGTTACAATATTTAGTCCATTTACATTTGGCAAATTAAGGATAATATTCTATCATCTATCCTATCTTTGTGAGGCTAAAGTTTTATATCTAATTTATTTTATCATAACTAAGGAAAACTATAACTATCTATTCTTCAACTCCATCAAAGACCCCAGAAGGATATAATATTACCTAAGTTAATAGGAAGTACATTGTAAGCCGTCTTCCAAAATTAGAACTGACAGAGACATCTCGCTGCCTGGACAGTCAAGTCACCCAAAGTTCTTCTGTAATGTGAGGCATCAATCTTCAGCCTACAGGCCCATAGTATCTGTCAGACTTTTCCACAAAGCAGGAAATTTTAAAGACTATTTCGCCTACATTGGCAGTTTGTCAGTCACTTTCTTCTGTACCCTGCGGAATATCTGGCAGACTCTTTCATGAGGCAGAAACCCTGAAGGGTTGTCTCACCTTTTTTTAAAATTGATTTTTATTGAGCTCTACATTTTTCTACATCCCAGAGAACCTTGACAACAATGAGGACTCAAAGAGAGATATACATGGATCTAATCTACATGGGAAGAAAAAGACAAGATCTCCTGAGTAAATTGGGAGCATGGGGACAAAGGGAGAGGACTGAAGGAGAGGGGAAGAGCAGGGAGGGGAGCAGAGAAAAATGTGGAGCTCAATAAAATCAATAGAAAAAAAAAAGTCTATCTGGGCTGCCAGTCCAAAGGAATGCAGCATAGCAGAGACAGTGCTAGAGGGAGTGACTTGGTCTGCAGCTGCCCAGAAAGCAGAGAAAAGGACTCCCAGTATTGTGCTTGACCCCCATCCCCTTTGTATACAGTCTGCTTCTCACATTCAGGGTGTTTCTTCCCCAGCTAATCCTCTCCGGGAACTCCCCACAGGCACATCCAAAGGGGGTGCCTCATTAATGCATGCAGTGAGCGCTGGTTCGCTGGGTGCTGGAAATGAAGAAACGACATACATGGAACAAACGACAGAAACACATCCAGAAAAGGAGTCGGGTTGGTTGTGACACTGACAGAGAGCACCTTCTGTGCAACCTGGAAACGCAGCAAAGTTATTGTGTGCAGCACAAGGAGGAGGAGTTCAGCTGTCTCCGTGGGAGGTCTCTAGGGGAGCTGCCTCCAATTGCAACCCCCCAGGAGGAGGGAGCTGTGGTTGCCAGTTTTTGCACACAGTCAATATTGGCACAGGAAGGCTTTGCCATTCCCATGGGTCTGAGGCACTGGGGTCCTTGACACTGACAGGGCTCTGCCCATGTCAACAATACACATTCACTCAAGACTCCATGACTCCCCACGGATGTTTATTTAACCAATCAAGTCGACAACGGAAATAATGTACCACAGACAACAAGATACAGTTCCTGAATAGGGAATGCAGAATCATTTGTTATTCTAAAACGGATAAGAGACAGAGAACACAGGGCCGTGAATGGCCAGAATACAGAAGGCCATTAAGCATTTATTTCGCCTTTGCCGCCGCTGTTCCATAGAAAAGACCAACGTGGGAACAACAACAGCAACAACAAAAACAACAGGGAACACACTGAATAACGCGATGTCCGTTCCCTTTCTACCTAGATGGTCTTCCGGGTCGCAACAGCCTTAGGGAACCCCGCCCTCCTTCCGCGCACGCGCTTCAGCGCGTCTTGTGGCCTCCGAACCAACAGGGGGCATGGAGAGCGCGCGGCGCGCACAACTAGCGGCTGCTTCCGGGTCAAGGGTCAGACAGCCTTCTTCCCGTTGGCCATGGTGCAGCTCCGGCCGCGTCCGTCGCGGGTCCCCGCGCCGGCGGAGGCGATGGTGGACGAGGACCAGCCGGCCTCGGAGGAGGAAGAGGCGGAGCATGGCCTGCTCCTCGGGCAGCCCAGCAGCGGCGCCGCCGCCGAGCCGCTGGACGAGGACGAGGATGGGGACGACGAAGCCCCCGAGGAACTGACTTTTGCCCATGCTCAGGCGGAAGCTAGGGAGGAGGAGCTGCGCGTGCGTGAGAGTGCACGGAGGTGCGATGCCCGCGGCGGGAACGGGGTGACCGGCGACTTCCTAGGCTCGTCCGGCGCTGACTACCTGTCCCCTTTTCTTCCAGGGATAAAACGCTGCTGAAGGAGAAGAGGAAGCGGCGCGAGGAGCTGTTCATCGAACAGAAGGTTGGGGGCGGGCTGTGTCGCTTTGGAAACACGACGGGGCGAGAGTTCCCTTGCTCGGGACTTTTTTTTTGGGGGTGGGTGGAGGGTATAGGATATTGGAGCGGGGCAAGGGCTGCTGATGTTTCTTGGTGTCTTGCCCTAGTTCAGCGTGGGCGTGGAAGCGCTGACACTCACCTGGCCTTGAAGTATTGGTCTTTTAGGCTTCCAGAGGTTGTGTTTTTTTTTTTTAAGTCTAAAACTAGAACTCCAAAGATTTAAGTGACTTGTAAAGTAAAAATGGCATACACAGACGATTCCTTATTTCATATCCCAGAGATTTGACTTCAAAGTGGCCGTGTCTGATACCTTTCTATTCATAACAGGGACACCTGAACGTTGAGCTACTGTGGGCACAATTACAAAGAATGTTTTGGGCTTTGTAAACCCAGTCTTGGCTTAGAAGTCGCAGGGCAATGTTGGTCTGGATGCAGTATTTGAAACGAGTAAATTTTTTTGTCTTGCTTTTTTGAGACAGGGTTTCTCTATGTAACAGTCCTGGAACTCACTCTGTATTTAAGACATCCGCCTCCCGCGGCCTCCAGAGTGCTGGGATTGAAGGCGTGCACCACCGATGTTTGGCCCAAATGAATAACTTTTTTGTTGTTTTGTTTTTATTTTTTCAGACAGGGTTTCTCTGTAGCTTTGGAGCCTGCCCTGGAATTAGCTCTTGTAGATCAGGCTGGCTTCGAACTCACAGATCCGCCCCACTGCCTGGGTTATTAAAGGTGTCAGCCACCATTGCCAGACACCGAAATGAGTAACTTTAAAAGCAACTCTGAGAATACCTGAACATCACTTTTAACTTATCTCCAAATGTCTTTATTCCAAAAGAAAAGAAAGCTGCTTCCAGATACTATTTTACAGCAACTAACTACAGCTTCAGAGGCTGAGTAAGTAATAGGCTTTTACTTCTGTAAGGCAATCTTTGATTTGTCCAAACTTAAAAGCTAGAGTCGTTTTGGAGTTCCCAATCCCAGTCCTACAAGTAAACATCTTGTCCAGCACTTGTCCTGGGGCAGAATCGGAGGTCAAGGTCAAGTGACCTTTTCTATTTAGTGGTCCAGCAGGCACTTAACCACAAACTCTTAAAATCCAAACTTTTCTTAAGCTGGTTTTACCTGCTACCACCCTTCCTCATTCCCATTTCATTTAGGAGCTTCACCCTGAGGTCTGTGCTTATACCCAAAGCTTGAGCTATGGCTGTCTATTTCCATGACATTTAAGCTCTATTGAGTTCACTCCTCTACTTCTTGGCACTCCTTGGTACATTCTTTGGTTTTCCTAGATATGGTTTCTCTGTGTAGCTCTGACTGCCCTGTAACTCCATCTGTAGACCAGGCAGGCTGTCCTCGAACTCAGATTTGTCTGCCTCTGCATCTTGGTGCTGGGATTAAATCCAACACCACACCTGGTTTTAGTGTAAACGCTGAAATTTTTTTTAAACAGAATAGTTGGTTATCTTTCCTATTATTTTGAATTCTATGAGGCATGTAAGCAGATGTTTGGTAACACCCTTGTCTTACATAACCAAGTGTCACCCTCCCTCATCACTTTCTCCTCTGTGATCAGTACAGTTCCTTCTGTAATTCATTTCTGAGGCAGTTTTGCCATTTGATAGTTGTCTGA